TTCAAATATTATTATTTTATTTTATTATTATATTATTATATTTTTTTTTTAATTAATTTAATTAAATTATTTTTATTTATTTTTTTAAATATATTTTTTATTATTTTCTTTTTACATTATTTATTTATTTTTTAATTATTTTATTTTATTTAATATTTACATAATATTTCTATATTACTGTATATATGTGTATTAGTAATTTGAGTGTTTATTGCATGGCCTTGCAGAACAGTCGTTACATTTCACTGCACATCTGGATGAGCATGTGACAAATAAATATCTTGAAACTCTTTCCTGCAGGCGGAGCTGCAGCTACATCACCGCACACACATCAAATATTCTCTAAGAAGTTTTCCTGTATCGAACAAAAAACATCTGCCAACAGGGAGAGAAAGACTTGATAAGAGTTCTGCAGACCACTGAACACCACATGACCTTTTAAAAAGCAAGTTTAGAAAACGGACTTCAGACTCCTGATAACGACTCCCGGGGAAACAAGGTTTTCTTTAAACTCATTCAATTAAAGCCGAGCTGCAGACGAGGATCTGATAAGACCAGAACCGTCGTCTGCGCAGGGGGAGGAGTCAGTGAAGGAAACAAGACGAGACTCTGAACAAACTCAGGAGTGTCAGTGAAGAATGCAGTGATGATTCTTTAATCCGTCTACCTTTTTTTCCGATTCGACATGTTGAATCAGCGGTCGGTGAGAGGAATCTCTCTGATTGGCTGTTCTGTTGTTTCATTTCTGTCCAGCTCTCCTCTCAGGTTCAGTAAAGCCTCTTGTCTCTGTAGTATCCATGCTTTCACCCATTAGTGTGGTTTCTCCTTATTTGTCTCCTCCTCCTCTTCTTTTCTTTTTCCACTAAAAGACCAAGAGCTGACAACGCCAGCGCCATTTTCTACTTTCTATCAGACATTATTCTCCATTAGTAGACGACCTGTAATACGAGTGGTGAGCGACAGCGGGTGTGAAAATGGTCTTCTCGTATCATAACAACGGACTACCGCCCCTGCTGGCATGGAGAGTTATTTCCTCTAATGAGCAGAACGTACGTGGTGATTGGCCGTCGGCTGGAGTCTTGTGGTGTGTTCAAGTGCAACTTTTTGGTCAAGACGTGAGTCGACCTTCTTCTCCACTAGTTCTGCCGTCTGCTTGGCGTGTCAGAGATGGAGGTCAGCCCCGCCCCCTTTATTATGGGTAGTTATGTGATAAATTAATAAAGACATAAAAACCTTTTATTGAATCTTCATTCAGAGGTTTGAGTTCTGAGGAGGAAACAAACAGGAAGAGAGAGCGATGATAACCGGCCGCCTGTTTGTTTCAGACGTTTGTTGTTCAAAGTCAAAGAGGTTACCGGCAGATCTGAGACACACACACACACACACACACACACACACACACACACACACAGAGACACGAGGGGGATCATATTGGATGATGAGGCGTCAATCATCACAGCCAATCAGACTCTTCACAGTCAGCTCATCCGTCCAATACGATGGCGGGAATGCTTCTTTCTTTTTTTTGTGTCTGGCCCAGCTGGTTATGTCTGTGACATCATCAGTGATGTCATCGATAATGTCAGGTATCAGACTCACTTTCAGTCTGCCCTGATTGAGAGAGGCGTTTGTGTGTGTGTGTGTGTGTGCTTGTGTGGTTCATCACATTCAAATCTTACCCCAGGAATACTTCCACTCTCAAACCTGCTGTTGGCTTTGAACTCTCTGATTCTGTAGAATCACTCAATGACATGTTGTGAGTCACATTCATGCACCTTTGTTTTTTTATTGCTTCGTCTCATTCAAAGATCGATGCAGGAAGCAGCAGCATGGACTTTAAGTCAAGACTACGATAACACTGCAAGCTGTTAATCAGTGAGATGTGTAGAGAGTGAGATGATAAAGGTTTCTTACTATCTGATCATTAAGGAAACATGCTATGTTGAAGTGCTGGCTTCTCTGACAACAATGCAGCAGCCAGTATGTCCTCCTTCTAACTTTAGATTCTGCTCCTGAATGCTCTGGATTTGTTTGGACCAGAGAAGGTAGGCGCTTTTAAGACACCCCCCCACACGGCCGTTTTGGACGCCCCTCTGTTTGTCAGATATGAGAGCAGTTATCAGGTCAACAGGTGTTGCAGTGATGGAAGCGGTCAAGAGAAGTGGTTCAGATAGAAGTGATTGTACCCGACCTAAAAAGCCTCTGCATGTTTCTAATAAGCTCCACGAGCAGAAACGTGCTCAAACTAGGATCAATATTGGAGATGCTTTTGAAAAATGGAGAGAGGTTAGAACACAGAAAGGTTTACAGACCCATGCAGAGCTGGATAAACACTGAAGCTTCAGAGTCCACCACATGGTGACCTGAGTGAGCATCCACTCTAGAGAGGGGGGGGGGGGAGACAGCTCTGTACAATGTTTAGAATTTAGACTGCAGTACCCATTTTAAACACTAGGGGTCAGTGTTACATACTGCTCCTTTAATGCTGAATTTGGATTTATTGCTAAGATCTGATTTTTCAGTTTTATAAATTCAGAAAATGATGAAACCATAAACATGAAGAATATGAGAACATCACCGGTCACGGACGAACAATTCATAGCTTTCAGTCACGTGACCAGCACGGCGGCGAGGAGGCCAACGGGAGTTTAGGAAGGCATTGTCCTCCATCGAACGCTCTGTAGAGCTGCAGCACGGGCTTTTTAATTCACCATCTGTTCATAACGACGCATGTTTACATCACCTGACAACGACTGAATGAAAAATAAAAGTCCATTATAGTGATTCATGTGTGTGTGTGTGTGTGTGTGTGTGTGTGTGTGTGTGTGGCAGCAGTACAGTGTGTGTTTCAGCCCTGGCAGCTGGTGACTCATCAACTCATAAAAATGCTCTCTCTCTCTCACTCACTGAATGAAGCTCCATTCACACTCATTTCATTGGTGAAATCAGCTGTGTGTGTATGTGTGTGTGTGTGTGTGTGTGTGTGTGTGTGTGTGTGTGTTCGTTTTCCCACTTCGCTCTCTGTAGACGAGGCTACAAACTGTCTTCATCTTAATCTTCAGTGAGTCTGTGTGTCTCTGCTGAGGCTGTAGTTTAGGTCACCTGTTGCCGGGCAGATCAGGACGGATACATCGTCTCTGACCCGCGCTGCCGAGCACATGGAGGATAAAACAACAACACGTGCATACTCTGGTTACTGCAACTCACTAAGTTAAGGATTTGATTATTAATCAAAAAGTTGATTAGGAATGAGACACACACACACACTCACTCACTCACTCACTCACTCACTCACTCACTCACTCACTCACTCACTGATGTAGACAGACAGTAAATAGAATCGATGTGGCCTCTCTGTGGTGCAGGGCTGAAGCCTTGGCCTCATAACTCTACTATTACAGACACACACACACACACACACACTCAGACACTCACACACACACAGACACACACACACACACACAGTCCCCAGGTGGGAGTTTTGGAGGATGAGACCTTGGCCTGATCAGCCCCCCGTGGTGTTAGAGGAAGAACTTGATTTATGAGTCTGGGAGGCTGGAAGTTCACAGGTGTGTGACGCACACACACACACACACACACACACACACAGGAAGTAAATGGAAAAAGAAGGTTACTAGAGGATATGTATGTTAGATATTACAGAATTAAAGATGAGCTCCATGAGCAGAGATGTCGTTAACATTTACTTCCCTGCAAACACAGAAATATAAATCCTGCAGTATGGTATCTAGCCTCTGTGTTTTCAGCGTGAACAGGAGGTCTGAAGGGGAGTGAAGTCAGGTCAGCGAATGAGCCCGTGTGTCAGTGCAGAGAGGCGACTGTGTGATCAGCTGCTGCGTCTGTAAATCAGGAGATAATTACACACAGGAAGAGAGAGGTACAGAATAAATCAGGACATCTCTCTCTCTCTCTCTCTCTGTGTCATTTAGAAAAAGATCTGTCTCTACATCAGTAAAGACGGCGGTGTGTGCATGTGTGTGTGCGTGTGTGTGTGTGTTAGTGTGAATGGGGTAATGGTGAATCATGGAGGATTTAATCTACCAGACTGAATGATTTTCTTTGGTTTCCTCTTCCTCGTTTCTCTGAGCCGGTGGAGAGACTCACCATATTTAATTTAGGTTGTTAAATTGTTCACCTTCTGATGCATCCACCTGGGTGTGAAAGTCAGATGGAAACCTCAGGTGTAGAAACATGAAGTCAACGCATCAGTGCAAATAGACTGCAGTTCCTCAAGTGTCCACTAGAGGCTGGCTGCAAAAGCCAAACAACCTCCATTAGATCCTGTATTAAAAGTAACATTTTTACAGCAGAAATAAACACGAGTTTGGTTTCTTTAGCTCGTTTCTGTTTTCGATCAAATCTGCAAAAGGTCTGAATCTCGTTATTACTCGCATGTTGTCACGGTGGCTGTTGAGGGCGACCGACCTGCAGCAGAAGCAGAGACGACATTGGAAAAGGGGAAGTGAATTTAGAAATTATTTAAATTCAGAAAGCAAAAAGTTCAACTCAACTTTCTGCAAATGAAAGAAACGTGCTGCAAAAAGCCAAAACAAAAACACCAAAATCAAACCGGCACATTCAGAAAACAGATCCCAGTCTTACCTGCAATGTCCACATAGTCCGCACATCAGCGCCAACTGACCCCCAGACACCAGCGCCCCAAAATGTTCATGTTTTACAGTCTTTGGATGAAGTCATTTCAATATTACCCCAGTGACTGACACAAGTCTTTCTTATATTTCTTATAGAAACCAGAAACAGCTGTGTCATCTCTTTCTTCAACGCACCGGACTCCATTTTCAAAAACGAGTGTTTTCCCTCGCAGCACACGTTGTTATCTGGTCGAAGGCGACCGTCCTGCGTCGCTTATTCATTTAAAAAATCATGCTGACTCTCTTTTCTGGGACTTGAAACTTCCCTCAAAAGGTTAAAAGATTTATGTTTTCTCAATCTAAATTTCTTCTCTGTTTCCTCGACAGGTCAAGGTGATGTGATGTCACCATGCCTGGATTGCCAACAGACCCGCCCCCTTCAGAGCGCCACGGTGATGCCGTCCTCTCTACAGCACGTAGCGACGCAGTGTCTGCAGAAGAAGTGAAGGAGATGGAGCTGCGTGGGGATCCCTCAGAGTCTCCACTGGAGCCGGACGAGGAGGAAACCCAGCAGGGGGGCGGCAGCTGGAGCCAAGATGGAGACCTGCAGGAATGTGGACAGTGAGTGTCCTCCATGGCGGTGATCCTGGAGTCCAAGGGTTTGAATAATAGGAAACTTTAAGAGTCTAAAACAAAATGTTAAATCAACCTCGGCTGCATGTGGAGGATGTTTTTGGTTGCAGTACTGTGATCGTCCACTAGGGTCTGCTTTTGTCCCAGTTTTCTTCTGTTTTTGTTTCCTGACTTTAACAATCTTTCTCTGTCCTTCAGGCTGGAGAGGCGGTGGGTCCTCTGGCACGAGTTTATGAAGGAACACGCCCACCTGGACGCCTGGCTGCGATCGGCTGAGCGGGCTGTCAGTTCCCCAAGCCCCGCCCATGTAACCTTCGTCAAGGCCAAGGAAGAACTGAGGAAGTTTGAGGTACTGAGCATCGAACAACACCTGAGATCAGAGCAAAGTCTGGTTTAAATTCAGACACAGGTTAAAGACCATGTAGAGCCTCTTCAACCAATCAGATGTCTTTCTGTGTACATCCACTTAATTGTCCAAATTTAAATTCTGCTGCTGAGGTCGGTCACTGCTGGGGAATCAGATCCACACAAATCCTCTTCAGCGTCAGCTCACATTAAAGCAGCTGTCAGCGCAGCGATGAATGAAGCTGTTGTTCATCTGTCACTCTCTGCTGTTTGAAGCTGAGGAGGCTGAGTGGTAGTTTAACACAGAGACACCACGTGACCCCTTATCGCTCCTCTCTACTCTGACAGCCGAAGAAAACATGTAGAGGAAGAAAGATGGAGGAATCACTCGACACATAAATAAATCATAAAGTCTGTCCTGTGTAAATGTGTCTCTGAGTCCTGACTGTCTACAATGAGGGAGAAGCTCGAGTCCCGCTGGCTGTGTTGTTGTCAGAGCCGTGTTTACATGGACGGGACGGCCGGCTCCTCCCCTTGTGTATAAAAGCTGTTTTAGTCAAGAACTAGAGAGAAGAAGAAGAACATACTCACTGATTATTTGGATGTTAGTAAGAGTTTTTAGATCACG